GCCGGGGGGGCCACGGCCGGCGACGGCGCTGCGGGGGCGGCCGGCGCCGCGGGCGCGGGCGCGGGCGCGAGCGCGAGCGCGGGGGGCGCGAGGGTCGTGGAGCTGCAGCCGCTGCCAATGGCGCCGATGGTGCGTGGGAGCGGCAGGGGCGCCGCGACGGGCGCGTGCGGCGAGGTGGGCTCCGAGGGCGAAAGCGGAAGCTGGACGCACTGCGGCCCGGAGAGCAGCCGCGGCGACGCCGCCGCGTGCGGCTGCGGGGCCGGGTCCTGCGCGAACGGCGGAGGCTTGCTGGTGGCTGCAGACGGCGAGGCGGGCGCCTGCGCGGCCGCGAGGGCGGCCTTGAACTCTGACTGGGGGCGGCTCTTCTGGCGCAGCAGTCCGGGCTTGTTGTGGAGCCGCCGCCGGAACACGGTCGGCGCCTGCGACGGCTGCAGCTGCGGCAGCGGGTGCGGCAGACCGCGGGACCCGCCAGACGCGCCACGGGACAGGGCCGGCGTTGGGTGCGGTGCCGCGACCGTGCCCGCGAGCGCCGTCGTAGGGCTCTTTGCTTCGTCGACGCCGCCGCCGCCGCCCGCGGCGGCGAGCTCAGCCAGCATCAGCAGCTGCTCGGCAGCCGCCGCCTCGTCGTCGGCACCGCCCGCGGGCCGCAGGTCGGTCGTCATCGCGCTGCTGGACGGGCTATCGTCCCCCCGCTGCTGCTGCTGCTGCCGCCGTTGCTGCGCGCGGTCCTCCGCAGCTGCGTCCTGCTGCGCGCCGGCGACTGCCGCCGGGCCCTGCGCGGCGCGCGCGCGCTCCACGAGCCGCTCGTGCAGGCGCCGGTGCAGCGCCTGGATGCTTTGGGGGTCTGTGATGCCCTTGGCGCGCAGCATTTTATCCGCATGAACCAGAATCATAGAGGCGGCCGACTCCGGGGACACGCCAGCCGGAAGGTCGATCGGGAGCGGCGGCGGCGGCTGCTGCTGCGGCGGCGGCCCGGCGGCATCGGCCGCGGCGCAGGCTGGCGGCGGGCTCGAGCACGCCGGCTCCTGCTGCTGCTGCTCGGGCAGCGCCTGCTGCTCTTGCTGCTGAGCAGCCGCGTGATGCGCCGCGGCCTGCTGCAGCAGCGCCGCCGGCGCGCCGGCGCCCTCGGACTGCAGGTGCGCGGCAGCCGCTTCCAGCAGCTGCCGTGCGCGCGCGGCGGCCTCCGGGCCCTGGCCCTCCAGGGCAGAGGTCAGGAGAGAGGCGAGCAGCGGCAGAGACAGCTGCGGCTGGTGGACGGGGCCTGGGCGAGGGGGGCCGAGGGGTTGCGTAGGTTGAGGCTGCCATGAGCTCGGAGGTGTCGCCGGCGGCAGCTCGTCAGCAGGCGGCGGGGTTGAGAGAGCTTCTGTCTCCCGTGATGCAAATTCAGCCCGCTTGTCTGATTGGCTGCATCCGAAAATTCTCATGTCCAAAGCATCAGTGTACGACCCACAAGGCATGGCCGGTGGGCCCTGTCATGGGCCTGCGACGCGACGCACCCGCCGCAGGGCGGCCGCACCTGATTCGGGCGTGCCTCGTGGGCGCTTCGGCTGCCGCGCTAGGTCAGCGGTGGCATCTGTGATATCGCCGGCCTGCTCGGTGCCTGCGTATTATTTTGCCGCGGGCAGGAGCGAGAGTCTGGGATGCAGAACCAAGGCCCGCAGAGGATCACAAGCCGTGGCAATCATGGCGAAATACACATATATACAGCTCATCTGAGCCCCTACGACCGTCTGGGCTGCGCACACACGCAGCTACGCCCGGCTCTGTGTGCTCCACGTTCATCAATCACCTTGGTCCCGCAGACGCTTCGACGGCGCCAGGCCGGCTTCCTCCATAATTTGCGTTTCCCCTGTGACTCTTGAACCTGCACGCTGCGAGCCACTTTATAGCTCCTGCAGCTGATGTGGTGAACAACTGTGGCTGGCTGTTTTGTTTGCTGCGTTGATGCAGAGGAGCTGATTGCTGTAAAGCACAACGCGTAATTGATGACATGTTTGCGTATCACGACCACATTGTGGTAAGCTGGAGTAACGACGGAGGGTAGTTCCAGCTACCGGGCAGCGCTACATGTTTATTTCGCAGCGCAGGTCGCCGTGTATGGCACAGGTGGTGCCGGCCAAGACAAGACGATGCGCTGATAAGGATGAAAAGTGGCTGTGCGGCAAGCGTGTAGACGGGCCCCCCGCTGCGGCGGCCGCTGGTCACTGGAGGGGGGGTGGTCCCGGAGTCACGCCCCAAAGGGTCCCGGAGTCACCCCCCTTGAGCGTCACACCCCAACCGGCATTGTGGCTGCAGGCCGCCGCACAAGCCCTGAACAGGCAATGAACAAGCAGTAGTGTTTTAAAGTTTCCAAATCAGGGGAACAGCACCCCTACACAGACGGGGACGCCTGATCCTGGGGTGGAAGAATCCGGCTCGATGATGCATGGCCACAGCGCTGCCCCCCAACAGCATTACCTCCCTGCCAGCACCCGCGCCTCGCCCCCGGATCCCCTTCCCAGTGCCATCATTGTCGACCTGATTGCTCTGCACACCCTTCTGCGCAGCACCCGTGCCCGCGGGCTGCGATCAGCCCGCCCGCGGCGCCCGCGACTCGTCATCCCAAAATCGCGACACCCCAGGGCCTGGCCCCCGCCTCCCCACCACAAGCGCGCCGCAGCGGCGGCGCGGGCTGCCAGTGGGCAACCCAACGCCTCATGCATGGGCAGATCGGGCATTTTGCATGGCTGCAGGGATTCTGACACCCGCTGCTCCCTGGGCGTCAGCACCCACGGCCACACGGCCCGATGAAGCTCCCCTTGCGCGCAGGGTGGCGCCAGGGTGGCGCCAGCGCGTGCGATTTGTCAGCAGCGCACGAGTGACCACCGCCACTTGCGCCTCGGCCATAACAGACGCATTGTTCCGTCCTCAACTTCAACGCGATTTCTGTGATATCTTTTCAACACTTCCATATCTATACGTGTGACGCCTCGCCGGCCAGGGTCGCCCCAGCTGCAACCGCCGTCAGGGTGCGCCCTGCCGCACGGCGGGCAGCCATCACACCGCTGCCCCTGCAACCTCCACCTAGCCTCTGGCACCCTGCCTCCAGCCAGCACAGCACCACTGCCCGGCAGCCTCCACCTGATCTCATAGAGCACTACTCAATTCCTCAAAATGAACTGCACACACAGGATGCTATTGCTGGGCTGTGTCGCTGTTACACAATAGTAAGCATCTGAAAGGCAACGTCGCAATCAAGCACCTGCCTTGCACCGCGCGGGGACGAGGGAGGGGCAACTTTAACTGGGGGTAAGCCGGTGACGCCGCCGGCGCGGAACACGCCGCGCGCGGCGGGTCGGGAGGGAGCGCTTCCGCGCGCACGCACGCTGGCATCGGCCGCGCGCCCGGGCCCCGCGCCCGCGCCCGCCGGCAGCGCCGCGATCTGGCGCGCGACGCGGGGCCGGCGGG